AAGGTTATTTGGTGTGAGTGTTGTCTTCTTGAAGTATTGTTGTCTCTGATGAATTTACAATGCAAGTTCTTCAGCGATCACTGAACATACTCAGTGATGATCGCTGGAACTGAAAATACAGAAACACAAATACAACGTGAAAGGGAAAGGGATTATCATCAAATCACTGAGAGAGAGGATCAACAATACATAATAAACTCTTATCAATAAAATAGTTCAAGACATCATCTAGATATAAACCAAGATTTACAAGAAACCGAGTGAACCATTACGTACCGGATGCCAAGATCATAGAATTCCATATTCAAATCACCATATTATACCATACCATTGTTGCTCAATACAACAAAGAAACAGGTCTTCCATAGAGTAGCATAGAAGTGTGAGTGATAGAGTAGCATAGAAGTCCAGAACGCGTCTTCCTACTCATAGCATCTGCCACTACATTGGCTTTACCCGGATGATATAGTATCTCATAGTCGTAATCTTTGATGAGTTACATAGCACGTTGTTGAAGCATGTTCAAGGTCTGTTGATCAAATAAATACTTTAAGCTCTTGTGATCAGTATAAAGTTGGCACTTCGTTCCATAGAGATAGTGTCGCCAAAGCCTCAAAGCAAATACCACCGCTGCTAATTCAAGGTCATGAGTAGGGTAGTTCTTCTCATAATCTTTCAATTGGTGAGAAGCATATGCAATCACCTTGCCTCGCTGCATCAAGACACATCCAAGACCAAGTCGAGATGCGTCACTATATACTATAAAGTCTTCGTTACCCTTAGGTAGAGCAAGTATAGGCACGTGTGTCAGACATTCCTTTCAAGTTTGAAATGCTCGATCTTGGGCCTCATTCCATTCAAATTTAGCATATTTACGAGTCAAATAGGTTAGTGGTACTGCGATTTTAGAGAATTCCTTGATAAATCGTCGATAGTACCCTGCCAGACCCAGAAAACTCCGAACTTCCGAAGCATTATTTGGTTGCTCCCATTCTTGAATTGCTTCGATCTTGGTTGGGTCTACAGAAATACCATCTCCRGATACGGTATGCCCCAAGAATTATACTTGGCGAAGCCAAAATTCACATTTCGAGAATTTTGCATAGAGTCGTTCTTTCCTCAACAATTATAGCATTTGACGTAAGTGTGAAGCGTGTTCGTTTTCGGACTTTGAGTAAACCAAAATATCATCGATGAATACGATCACAGACTTGTCGAGCATAAAATAGCATACTCGATTCATTAAGTCCATAAATGTTGCAGGTGCGTTTGTAAGTCCGAATGACATTACGAGGAATTCATAATGCCCATAACGGGTCCGAAGAGCAGTCTTGAGTACATCGTCCTCCCGTACCTTGAGTTGGTGATAGCCAGACCGTAAGTCAATTTTAGAAAAATATCTTGCTCTTTGCAATAGATCAAAAAGATCGTCAATTCGCGGTAATGGATGTTTGTTCTTTATAGTTACCTTGTTAAGATCACAGTAATCTATACACATCCGGAAAGTTCCGTCTTTCTTCTTAACGAACAGGACTGGAGCACCCCAAGGAGATGTGCTTGGTCGGATAAAACCCTTGTCCAATAATTCYTGCAGTTGTTTCATCATTTCTTTCATTTCCGTAGGTGCGAGACGATATGGTGTCTTTGCTATCGGAGCTGCACCCGGTATCAAGTCTATGCAAAATTCTACTTGACGAT